TAATATTAATAATAATAATGATAAATTTTTTTTTTTTTTTTTAAAAAAAAGAAGAAATTAATTGCACATCGATATTGTCTTAATATTAAAACGTTGAACCTGTTAAGTTTTGTTTTACCGTTAAAAAAAAAAAAAAACGTTTACTTTTACGTATAAGGTATATATCAGGCAGGGTTTTGACCCCTTTCAATCGTCGCCTTATTCAAGGTTTCATTCGATTTAATTTTATATTTATTATTATTATTATTATTTTGTACGAAAATAATTTACGAGATTCTTTCTTTGTTTTTTTCAAACACGAAAACATTTTTATTTAAAAAAAAAAAATTAATATGACAAACGAAACCAACAAAAAAACGAATGAAATTAAATTTATTCTCAGCGTGATAAGAAGCAATTTTATTATTATTATTATTATTATTATTATTATTATTAAAGGCGCCTCGACGACACACGACGACGTCCGAATTGAAAAACAAAAAAAAACAAAAAACATCTTCATTCGAATAAACAGAGAGAGAGAGAGAGAGAAAAAAAAAAAACTTATTTAAATTTCATTAGTTTTTTTTTTCTTTTCTTCGGTAGGTATGACAGAAAAACAATTTTGTTGGGCGTTATTATCATCAACAACAACAACAACAACAAACAACAAACTCACACCCTTCCTACCCGTTTTGTTTTAATTTTTTTTTGGAAGGATTATGTTGACGTTTGTTTGTGGTGGTTGTTGTTCATATCATCACCACACACACACACACGCACACACGCATTCGGGGCACAAAATAATTAATTATGGGGTCAAAAAACATTTTTTTTCCGACCTGTTGATTCTGATTGATTGTCTGACATTTTGTTTACTCGTTTTTTTTTTTTTTTTTTTTTTTTGGCAACACGAGGAACTTTGAAAATTTCGACCTAAAATATTTGACCTTGAGTGATTTTAAATACTCAAACTTTCCATTTTTCCTTACATTTTCTCGCCTTTCGTACTCTATTCATCCATTCATCTCATCGAAATTATTAAATTAAATATATTTTAAATATTATTTCCGGTTTGGTTTATTATCATTAAATTTTTCACACACTTCCTCCCCTCCCCTCCCCGTTTCGTTTCGATTCGATTCATCGTTTTTTTTTTTTACTACTTAATTTTTTCCTTAAACAAAAATATAATACAAGTGATTTTAAATAAAACATTTAATCCCATATGATAATATGGAATTAAACGCTTTCGCATGAAGATTATTCGAGGAAGGGGGAAGGGGGGGATTAACCGGGATTAATCCGGGATAAACCTTTTTAACTATTAATACCGTTTGCCAAATGTAGGTTGTAGAATAATAAAATCCGTTAATAATAAAATTTAACGAAATTAAAAAAAAAAAAAAGGAAATCGATCAACAGGAGGTCGTTTGAAATGTTTGTGTTTGTTTGTTAGTATGTGCGTGCGTGCGCGTCTATGTGTAGAGGATGGAGGAAAAAAACATTCCGATTCGTCTCTTTATATATAAAATTTAAAAAAAAAAATTTCATTTCATTTAATTCAAATTTAAATGATTAAAATTCCATTTTTTTTTTCGTTAGTTTCGGTTTGAATAATTTATTTATTATAAATCAAGTTTACCCAAACGTCAAAACGCATAATCGACCTTTAATTAATAATAATAATAATAATGATAATGATAATAAATTTGTTAAATTTTCATAAACATTTGTTTTCCTTTTTTTTTTTTTTTGAATGATCGTTACGTTTATTTGCACGAATTCCACCATAATTTTCCTTTCCTTTCATATTTAATAATAATATTAATAATAATAATAATAAATTTAACAAAAAATTAAATTATTAATATGGCGGCAGTTTTAAAAAAAAAATTTATTAAATAAATAAATTACTGATTAAAAAAATATTGCAAACACTCGTAAATTTTTTTTTTTTTTACATTTTCCTTTCCTTAATAATAATAATAATAATAATCATCATTATTATTTTTAATTTGAAACGTAATTAAAATTACAGGAAAATTTATTAATCTCTGCACTATTATTTATTTACGGAAAATGTCGGAAAAAGTTAACAAAATGCAGCCAGAAACTGTGACGCCATTTGTTTTTTTTTCCATTTGAATCCATTTAACTTA